CAGGAAGGCCGCTTTTAGTATCCGCTACATTGAGACACATAATCGTGTTGCAAAAAATATAAATAAAATTGCAAGGATTATTTTTAGAGAAGGGAAGAATGTGCGTCCAGTGAGTCGAGAAGTACTCGTATTATTCATACCTTCCAGCAAAATTTTTAATTGCTGAGACAAATGAAAATTAGCTATAAACGAATTCAGGCAAACGTCAGAGGATTAAAATGTGAATTTTTGAAGTCCAAACTGATGAAGCTCTTGTGTGATATTGAGGTTTGTGATGAAGCCAGAGGAAGAAATTTTTCAGAAATATGTGTTAATTTACGATATTGTTCGCGGTTTATTTTAAACCTGAATATTATACACCTAAGAAGCAATTTTGCTATTGAAGATTGATTATTACACAGGGTTGATAAAATTCTTACGCAACTCTCGAACTGTGTGTGTGCTTTTTTAACTTGTTCGGGGTTTAAAAAGAAATACAGCTCGTGCTATATTCCACATTCCCCTGAAGTAAACATGTAAAGTCCAACTTCGGAATACATAAGTTGCATACCATCATATGGACTTTATGGAGGATCGATGTCATCGTAAGCGTATGCAAGAGAGGCAACACTTCGATTTAAAATTGAGAGATTTTAATTCCTTCCTACCCTCCAATTCAGTTCATTACCAGGCTTCGGAAAACTTTTAAAGAACTATTCCTGAGAATATGCGTGAATTTTGCTTCTACAACTTATTCTGCGATGAAAAATAGGTAAATCTTTCCACCACGAAAAACCTGAAACAAAAGAGGGTACTGCTATTAAAAAAATCAAATTATACAGATTATTGATTCGTAAAGAGAATAAATCAATTTTTCGTATCTATTGTTATTAACGATCTCAAATGCCCTCTCTTCACGAAAGAGCATTTGAAAATTTCCCAAGAGGATAACCCCGATTTCCGGAATGAGTCCTATACAAAATGATTCGTGACGAGGTCATTTTTTGTCGATTGCCGTGAAATCAGAACCATTACGGCCCAATAACACTTCGGAAAACCAGCTCTTCCCTGGGTACCACGTTTAACGTCGTGGTTTCACGCGATTTTCAGGGAACGATATAAAGACACGCGGGTCCTGGGAAAATGAACGGCGAGTGCGAATATCATTCAAAGCACGAAATCTCCGAACATCATCACGAAACTGGCTTCGGGAACTTCCTGAACTGCGAATTTCTCATTGACGACCCAATATTCTCATTTGAAAATCGAAAATTTTGATGGAGAGTTCAAGGAAAATTCACTAAAATAATTTGATCAGAAATAGAGCATTTAATGAGCGCTTATGTACTGAAAATTAGAAATTTCGGGAGGGAACCAACTGAAGGGCGTGGATTTCAAGATTCTATCACGCTTGTGTTTTCTTGAGGATCTGCAGATGCTCCGAAAACTTTTGGGTTTTTTGCTGGGATGCGAAAATTGAGAATTGAGGAAATCTCACATCATAGTAGATTTGCATATGTTTAACTATGAGATATAGTGTTCCGCAATGCGCATCATATATTCAAGGAATCTATACTCTATAGACTAGAGTGAAATCGGAATAAATCACTGTTCTGCTCCAGGGAAAAAAATGCTTAATTCATCATGAAACTTTTCAACCATTGAAGCACTCGATTTATTTTACGTAATCGTCATCGCTGAACCACTTCATATATTACTCCTATAAAGCTATAATGTCTTATATAATCGTCAGAAGACATTATCAACTACTGCGCTGTAATTTTTTATGAATGAATGCACACCTTCCTGCTGGTGAGATTAAGAGCGCCTAGCGCCTAAATTGGCTGGAAACTGAATTTTTCTCTAGTAATTCGACTGAAATAAGCATGGATCTCACAGTGCAATCTCGTGCCCTTGATATAACGTGATGTCTCTTAAGCTTTCGAAAATATTCTGTTTTTCCTCTAGTAGATGTCATCGAGGTATGAATTCCTCAAGCCAACACGAATCTAGTGCTAAAAAAAAAAACATTACATAACTCCGAAGTTGATGAAAAATATTTTGCCGGGCAGAACACGAAGAACGGATTATATTTTTATTATTAAAGCAAAATCACGGACGACTCTCTCGGATTCAAAACGAACCCTTTCTTCAGAAATTAAAGGACCGAGTGTGTTCTAGAAAATATAACTACATCGATTATGAGACGCGTGCTTTCATTTTTGGCGTGTGAATGTCAGTCACGCTTTCGTTGCGTAAGATAAATCAAAATAGGAGGAATAACTCAAATTTAAAGGTTTCTGTTACTACTGAATGGATCTCCTCGAAAGCTTTGAACGCATGAAGGATTACGTAATGTGCTAATTATTTTATGAATTTAATTTTTGGCTTCATATTATATTCAGAAGATGGTGGCTGTCATCCGTTTTATCATCCACGCAATTTATTCTTATACTGTATCTGAAAAACCATCATCTGAACACATTACAGAGAGAAAGAGGAACTTCTTATACAATCAACCCACGATTTAGTGCCAAATCCCTTGATGCCACAGAAATGTTCTGTCCCTAATAATAAACAATAGACCAAATCAGAAAAACGAAGGCATTTTTCTAGGGATATCATTACGTTAATACTGAAAATCACGTGCCCGTGCTTGGGATAATTTTGAAAACTGAATTTACATTTAATTGAGTGGTATTATTCAGGTGTTTTTCATGCCAAAGACAATCTCAATAAATCTGATGATCTCTTTAAAGAAATTCGAAATTACACCACCTGATCTCGGAATTAAGCTGTCATTAAAAGATTGACACAAAACGGCAAGAAACAGCGCCACTCTTTTACTTGCCCCAACTGTGCAAAAATGTGACATATTTTATACCATTACATGAACTGAAATGATAAAGTAGAAAAAAGATAAGTTGAGCCTCGAATTATTTCCTATGTGGCTTCTTCATTTACTAAATGGATTCAATGACTTTACAATTCGGCAACAACAACAACAAAAAACCTATTTTACCCAAATTAGAAGCCCTCAACTAAATTTTCCTTATAGATGCAATTCCTCCAATTTAGTGCTACAAAATTTGCCAGGACAAATGAGAGCTTCAAATCGGGGTTTTGGAACTGTATTCAAATCGATGCATATAAAGTGGCCGAAATTACCTGAGGGGGTCCAGGAAACCTCTGGTTGTCGGCAGACGAACCCTGGGCACCGACTAGCATCAAATCTGCAAACCACTCAGCCCAAGTCACCTTCCGCACGAAATTCCGTGCAACCCAATAATCAATGCCATAAGTCAGAAACCCGCAAGCTGTCGTTGCAACAAGGCTCAAGAGCCAGGGTTCCAACCGACACACATCTTCCTCCTCATCCACTTCCTCATCCTTTGTCAATGTCGCATTCTTCTCGCAAGCTTCTTCTTCTTCCTCCTCTTCGTCGTCATCATCATCGTCATCCTCCTCTTGGTATTCGCTAATTCCAACTGGTGCCGTGACGAGCAAGGGAATCGATTTTTCTGTCTGTCGGCAAACATGCAAAGAATTCACGGCGTCCGCAAAAGAAACAGCTGGACACGTGGCTACAGATACTGGACTCGGGACAATAACGCGTTTCTGCCGAACGTCATCGTCGTCCTCATCCACGGCATCGTCTTCATAGTAGTCAAAGTCGTCGGCGAAATAATCCTGCGACAATTTTCGCTCCTCGGCGGCGGAGAGAAAATCGACGCGGGTCCGCCACTCCTTCGAGCAGCTCCTGAGCCCACGGCGCCCCAAATAAAGCGTCATGAAGAGCATCAAAACGGCGGCGACGACGTCGTAGCGCAGTTCCTGACTATTGGGCCGGAAACTGTCCCAATAGTCGAGGAAGACGAAGGTGGTGACGAGCAAAAGGGCGCCGGCAGTTGCGACGCAAAGGCAAACTTCGAGCGTCGTGAAGTTTTCTTCCAGGGACGCCGAGAACTTGTGCTGAAGCGCCAGGAAAGTCGCGCAAGTCAACATTTGCGCACATTTGATGCACATCATCCAGCGCCTTTTCGCGCGGGTTTTCGGGTCGGGTTGCTGATGATGGGTGCTGGTGGTGGTGGCGGTCGGGCTTGCCCAGCTTGATTGTCGGTACCCGTGCTGGGACATCTTTAATAGCTTTTTTTTCTCTCCTACAACTTTTTGCTGCGACTCCGACGTGAACATGTACAAGCAGGGGACTGTCTTGAAGATAATTTGATTACTCAACGAATTTTCATGCCTCTAACTCCGATGACTAATTCATTCATTGATTGCTTCGTGTGTGTCCGCCCAGCGACTTTCGTGTCTGGCTTTCCAAAGTTTTTCTCCTATACTTTCGATGCAGTTAGAAGACTGGGGTCTCTTATTAGTAGAGGTGGTTTATTCACACATAAAGATGGTGCACCTTGACTTATTTAACATTCATTGTATTTCTCATCGATCCAAGCATCTTCTTAATATTATCAACAATTTTAGATTTAAGGAGCATTATTTCCCGCGGCTTTCTTGTACATGAAATAAACCTTCTATGTTTTTTTGTCAAATGTACGAGTTTTGATTCTTCAGGTGAACTGTATTTCAGCCTTGAAAGCTGCAGTTTCTCTAAAATTCGAAAATATCCTTTCGTAAATATTTTCATACATAAATTCTACCTTTTTTTACGCGTAGATAGGGCTGAAGAGGTATTAATTGGATTAAGCTGATTTATATTCAAAAAACATCTTTTTTTTTAATCCCAAGGATCAGTACTGTATCAGACTTTTGGAAATACTGTAATATGGTTGAAAATAAGAATTTTGGATCAGAAATGGAGAAAAACCGCCGTTTTTCCCGCTTTCAGAAAGATATTTAATCGATAAACTGTTAAGAACGGGTCTGAAATTTTATGAGAGATTAAATTTCCATCAGTCAATAAAGGGGACTTCATGAGCAAACTCATTTTATTCTGACCGTTTTCCTGATTGATACTTCTTCCTATAGTTTCCCACGAATCTTTACCCAAGTTCGAAAGACGTGACTCAATGAATGGTTCATTTATTATTTTTTAATTCTGCATTCTGAAGTCATCTGATCCCACATCAAGTAAAATTCATGAAAAAAAGAAGGGAAGAACAAATTCCCCTTATTGGTTGATTCGAAAGATTTCCTGCTGCTGTTTTCCTAAGGAACAGGTGTTTCCTCGGCTTCTGACAGTTCCCATGGCAAATGCTTGGTTTCACCACTTATTACTGGTCTTCGTGACTTCTTGTAATTGGGTTTATCAAGCTGACGCATATGAAATCGAATTTGTGGACTATAGCTCTACGTTACCTCGAATCCACGGGCAAGTGATCTTTTAGCATCCCGATAAAATGTAGCCTTCAAACTTTGCAAAGTCACGCAAAACTCCGTAGTATACCTCGTGGATTTTTCTCATTATTATCCGTGATTCTGATTCAACTCATTGAAGTGCTACTCGTATTGGAAACCTTCGTAGGCACACCGTCATCAGGACAGTGCTGGAAAATGCTGAAAAGAAATTCGAGCTCATGAAGACGTTGAATATCTCGAAGTGTTTCGACGATGTCGATTCGAAGGACAAAGTGGAGGAGATTCACTGGTGGCATGACCCAAGAAGACCTCATCCTGAAGACTCAATTGAAACTGGAAATCATCACATGGATATATTTGCGTCTCCCAGAAAAGCCAAGGAAATTCAGACTTTGTTGAAGCGAAGCAATTTGACCGCCGTGACATTGATAGATGATGTCCATAGGTAAGATTGAACAGTACTTACAGTTACACATCAGTGCATACGTTTACATATCAGTTCCGTATTGTCCATGATTTTATTCATCATTAATCCAAAATTTTCAAGCAATAGCCGATGGAAATTCATTCCATTATTGTAATCAATCCTCCGCATCCTTTTTTAAGCCTTGTTTAATGTGTAGAGATGGACGCACTTTCACAAAAAGATCTTGGATAGCTTCTCAAAAACCGTTCAAAAACTTTCTCATACGGGGAATGCAGTACATGTACTGTAAATAGAAAGCAAAATTACAATACTGTACATGAAACCACCGCAAAGATCGATATACTGTACAATAAGGTTATCTGACGGAATGTTAGTAGTAATGTAGACGTGACGTCAGCACACACACAATGTATTAGGCTCAGAATCTGATAAAAGATGCAGTTCAGAAATTTTAGAATAACTTCTTCGTATGCAGCGTTACGTATAAGAAAGGTTTCTATATCGAGAGTCGTACTGCTGGTACTTAGACGTGATTTTATAATTTTATTGTGTTTCTGATGAGGAGGAGAACTAGAGTACTATACTTTATAATGTACTCACGCATACACTCTTTAATAGATTCCAAGTGCTAAAAAATGTGTCAAATAATAAAATGCCATTAGTGGTCGATTCACATTATCCTATTTTACGTTGGAAAATATGAGGGCGTCAATTTTTGTGTTATTGCAGCGAAATATGAAAATGTATCCATAATTTCAAGTTGTGAACAAGAAGTTAACCGATTTAGAGCACACCTTGAGAAAATGGCTGAGGAAATCATAGAAGACTTGTTTTCAATTTCCATTTATCCCAGAAAGATCAGAAAAAATTTGACGACGTTGTGATCACCAAAATGTATCCAATCCAGCTATGTATCCAACAAGCATGCGTAAATTGCCATGGATTGTAGTGATTATATGAGTGTTTTCAAATTTACTTCATTTCTCTGCATTTGAATGGAATAATTACCAGGCTCTTCAAGCGAGGAATGCCGAAGAAACGACGACGATCCAATCGGATGACTTGGACAAATTATCAATCCGCTGCTACTGTGAATAATTTTTAAATATTCGAGATTTTTCGCAATGGAAATATATTCATATTTTTCTTTCAAGATTAATATAAAAATATTCTTTCAAGATTAACAGATTCTTGGACCTGGTCGCAAAAAAAGTGCCTCACGCGACTACTGAAGTTATTGGAAAAACAGCGGAAGGAAGAGAACTGAAAGTCCTCAAACTGAACACAAACAACGCTGCTAAAGCTTTTTGGATTGATGGCGGTATACGTTGAAGATTCCGAATTTTGAATGTTGAGAAAAAATGCGTACATATTTTGTGTTCCCTGCAGGAATTCACGCCAGAGAATGGATAAGTCCGGCTGTCGTCACTTTCATTATCAAGGAATTCGTCAGCAATTATTCCAGACATAAAACTGTCATTGATTCGTACCAATGGTATTTCCTACCACTCATGAATCCCGATGGGTACGAATACTCGAGGACAAAAGTGAGTTTCATTCATTTATTAGGACATTTTTTTGCGACTCAAATTCTGCGTTTTGCATAGGATCGAATGTGGAGAAAAACCAGGTCGCCTTCTTTGAGGAAAGGCGGATGCGTCGGTGTCGATGCCAATAGGAACTGGAACCACAAATGGATGGGTGACACCTATGAAATACGCTGTGAGAACTCGTCATGAATCTAGATACTGGTTTCGCAGTTGTCGGTGCTTCACAGGATACCTGCTCGGAGGTCTATGCCGGTCCTTACCCTGAATCGGAAAAATGTGTTGTGGCTGTTCGAGATTACGTGTTGAAGAGACTAAAGCCGAGGAAAGACGTGCAGCTCGTTGCCTTCTACACGTTCCATTCCTATTACCAGGGATGGATGTCTCCCTGGGGCTGGACTTCCGCAACGCCGCAACGTCACGATGAACTAGTGAATGCTGTCTCTCAACGTTATCCCCCGTTAAAATCAGTACAGAAGCAGGATAATGAGAGCATTTGCTGCTGTTGCATAAATGAGAAACAAATCATGGAGAATCGAAGATGTAGGGGGGCTCAAGTCCTGTAAGCTGAAATGCTGAAGCCCGCAGAATATCTTCTGAAGGAAAGACTTCGAACTTTATTTTATGAGATCATGCCTTTTTTTCTGAGCGTGAACATGTGTAACCATAATATAATGCTCTAATATCAAATTCAGACAATACGGGCTGTTTATGCCA